TTGATTTAGAATGATAATACATATTTACTACCATTAGAGCCATTTTGTGTGTTTTATGTGGTTTGTAAATAATGCTATATTTTATGAGGAAATGAGAGATATTCCCCTATTGTGCTCATATATATTTGCAAGATTTAAAATTTAACATTTTGTGCTTCTACTGATCTCTTTTTACTCGCATTTCCAATGGTAAATTTCTTAAGTAAATAATCCACTTGGAAATTGCATTTTTCATTCAATGGAGCTATGTGTGTATGCATTTTTTGTTTTCATCATTTTGTTTAGAAAATAGGAGTATGGTAAATATGAACATGCAGGGACAATTCTTTCCTATATATTTTGTGATTTTCAACAATTTTAAGATCTAATAAAATTTATAGATCTTTCCCACAGGAAAGAAATACAAATACAAAAAATACATTAACACAGTGCTGTATATAATTTAAGAGACTTCAGATATACCCCGGGTTTTCTTCACATTCATATACAAAGAATAAAAACTAAAACAATGGAAACAGCCACAATTAGCAGTTCTAAAAATGCTTCAGTGTTGTACCTAGACTTGAAATGAATACGAGTGGGTAGGTTAATACACAAAACTTAACTCATAATACTTTTGCATTTTCTACAAATTCAGAAGATCGCATAAAAGAGGCCAAAGACACTAGAACATTATAATGAAAAGAGAGGTGGAGAAAAGAGGAGTCAATCCTAGAGAAGAGACCTAAAGGAGTCAAAGGACTAACACCCAGATTTCAGAAAAGGAAAATATAAAATGTTATTGAGTGTTGGTAATCAATTGTGGTAGCTCAGGCATGGACCCTGTAGCCAGCCTGTCCAAAATTGGAGCCCAGATCAGCTACTTAAGATTATAACCTTGGTAAAATTGCATAAACTCTCTTTGAGAGTATCCTCATCTGTAAACTGGGGATAATAAAGGATTTATTATTATTATTATTATTATTATTTGAGACGGAGTTTTGCTCTTGTTACCCAGGCTGGAGTGCAATGGCACAATCTCGGCTCACTGCAACCTCTGCCTCCTGGGTTCAGGCAATTCTCCTGCCTCAGCCTCCCGAGTAGTTGGGATTACAGGCACACGCCACCATGCCCAGCTAATTTTTTGTATTTTTTTAGTAGAGACGGGGTTTCACCATGTTGACGAGGATGGTCTCGATCTCTTGACCTCGTGATCCACCCACCTCAGCCTCCCAAAGTGCTGGGATTACAGGCTTGAGCCACCGCGCCTGGCCCAAAGGATTTATTTTATGTCTTGTGGGAATGAAATAGTTCCATCTATATAAAGAGCTTAGCAGAATGCCTTCCACACACTAAGCAGGAAGATGGGTACAATACTTCATACCCTGCTCTCATTTTTGTAGCAGCCTGGTTTACTGTGAGAGGTGCTCTGAACTAAAACGTGGCAAATCTTGGGACTGGGGAAGAGACATGAGATGTTTGTTTGAAGGGACAGCGGACCTAATTAGACTGCCTGCTCCTCACTTACTTACACCAAACAGTAGGCAACAGTATCTTCTTGAGAAAGAGAAAGAAGATATAGGCCTTGTGTATAGAAAACAGGGAAGAATCCTACAAAGAAACACAGGGATTTCAAAAAAGTTTTCATTTCCAAAATACTAGTCTTAAGCATGCCTGTCCCCTCCTGCATCATCACTGCAGGCAGGGCATAATAAGCATGTATTATACTTGTAAAACAGGCCATGGGCATTCTCAGATTCAAAATATGAGAATAAAACCAAGAATCAATCAAACTTTCAGAAAAGATAACCTCATAAATGTGAGTGATCAACTCAACACACAGAAAATTAAAAATAACAAAATGAACATCAATGTATAAAGCAACAGAATAAAATAACACAAATATAAATTATAACTTCAGAATGATATGGGAGGCAGCACTTCCATGAAATAGCCTGCAAATATTTTAAAATTAAAATTTTGGTTGTGAAGAAAATAGAAAGCTAAAATGAGCTGAAGAGCAGAATGAGAAGAGGAGGAGAGAGAAACCTAACAAACAGGTAAGTGAAATAAGACAGCTCTCTCAGGGGAAGGGCCAATGTTTATAGGAGAAACTGTGAAGCAAAAGGTAATGTGTATAGAGGAAGAGGTGTAACTTCTAGATGGTATGAAATAGAAGGAAGAGGTGAGAACATTAAAAAGTAGGAAAGTATTACTTGCATCTTTAAAACACAGAGAGAAAAGTGAACATGTTGTCGAAACAGAACTAGTAGTGTACCTATGGTGTTTTAAAATAAAACATGTAAACAAAAAATAAATAAAAGATTAATTAATTTAAATCTCCAAATCTGACTTTATTGCTGAACTCCAGACTCCTGAAATCAACTTCCCATTCAGCATCTCTATTTGCTTGTCTAAAACACCTGTCAGTTACCGTATGTTGAAACAGAACTCTTGACTTTCTCTCCAAGGGGGTGAGACTTATATATTGGCCTTCTCATCTCAGTAAGTGGAAATTACCAGTTGGCAGGAACCAAGGATTTCAAGTTATCTCTGATTCTTTTACTGTTCTTCAAATGTATACACATTACAATGACAGATCTGTTTGGCTCTCATTTAAAAATATATGCAACATCCTGTGAATTCTCAACACCTCCACCACTTGTCAATTTTTCTAAGCTACCATTTTTGCTTGCCTGCATATCTATTTAACCAAATTTAGGCTTTCACAACCTAAATTAAGATAAAATCTTTTCTCTGCTCAAAGCTGTCCAAAGACTCTTCATCTCATTCTAAATATTGAATCCAACTCTTTCTAGAGCCTCGTGGCTTCTCTATGGTTTAACCTTTGGCTACCTTTCTGACCTAATCTCAATTATTTCCATTCTATCTGGACTGTTTGTTGTTTCTTAAGCATATCAAACGCTTTTTGCCTTTGTTTTAGAGTCTTTGCATTTGCTTTTCTCTCTATTCAAAATTCACTTTGTTGAGGTCTTTGTTTCTTCTCATCGGAGTTGTTAGTGAACCCCCTCATGCGGTGTAAATGATCGTCACAAAACACCTAAGCCTCTCATTTTACCAGCTATCTCCCTACTCTACTCCACAAAATAATCCAAATCTTCCTTATCCTCATCACTTTGTCATCTTCCGTAAAATCTTTCTATCATGCCTTCTGAAAATCCACTTTGTCATCTATATTTTCTATCAACAGTTCTTTCATCTGCTTATTCCAATGAACCTCAACTCTGCTGGAGAGGTCATTTCTACAGACTCTCCTTGACAAAAGATTTTCAAACACCAGCTTTGGATGCAGGACACCTGCCTTTCCTGCTCTTTGTGTATCCTTGAGACCATTTTCTCTCCCATGTTCCTAAAATTGCCCAAATTTAAAATGCTTACCCTCACTTTGTATTACCAATTATGAAGCTTTATTGATGTCATTTCTCAATAACTGGACCATTTACCCCTATTTTTGGATGGCTTCAGTTTCTAGTTCAATGACATGTTCTTTATAAGTAACCCTGTCTTAATTCTTCATGATTCTAGTATATGCATAGATGGCCATTTAGCACACTGACTTCTCAGATGAGTCCTCTCCCTTGATGCTCTTATTCTTTCTACCTAAGGAATTTACTATAGGTCTTGTCATTACACACAACTGCAAAAACTTTGTAATTTCAGTGTCATTCATCCTATTTTCTGATCACTACTGACTAGGATTTGAAGGCTCTAACAATTCTACCCCAAAAGGGTTTCAAATCTTACTACATTTTCACTGCTTGTAATTCATTTGTTGTTTTTTTCTGAACCAGCTTAAATACCATGATCAGTGAAAATAATTATTTTATATAATTCCTTGATTCCTCTGTGTTTATCTCACTTTTTAAACTCATGTGACAAAAAGACAATTTTTTGGTTAAATCCATCTTCATACCTCTGTTTCTGCAACCATGCATCGAATTGGCCTTACCTAATGATACAAAAGTAGAGTGACCTACTGGGCTGTCTGACAATCACACTTCCCTAGGTCATTCATCTCTCACTCCCCTTAGTGACTCATCTCTTCCTCTCCTCAAACCTCCAACTCTCTCCTCTCCCTAATTAAAGGGGAAGCCTTTTTGATTTATCTTTGCTAAGGTAACTGAAACTTTGGGAATGATGTTCTACGGATTCTCACTACCACATATACCCAACTATCAACATCTGCACGCCATGCCCTTTCCCACTGATAACCTAACTGACTGACAGTTTCTATGCCAAGCCAATTCCTCCACTTACCTTCTAGACCAGATCCTCTTTCTGTTTAAGTATACTGTTTAGCAATTTTCCACTCTCTTACTGATTTTACAATTTCTGCTGCTGTCTTCCCAGCAACAAAAAATATATCACTTCTCTTTATATACTAAGCAACGAAATGAAATAACCAAAAACAACAAAAACCTGTTTGGTCCCATATCTCCCAAACAACTACCATCCAGGATATTTTCCCTCTTTTGCAAAGTATCTTCTTTTGTCACTTTTCTTAAATTCACTCAAATTTAGCTATGGTCCCTATGAATCTACTAAATTTTGTATTCAGGTACAAAGTTAACCAACAGTAATAATTCATAACATCTCCTTTTCAAAACAAATTTCTTAACGGATAATTATAAAATAAGTCAATTGAAAGTCTAAAGGAATAATACATGGAAGGAAGACGTGTTATCATTGGAATAATCTACCTCATTCATCATGCCTAGGATATCAGTGAAGTAAATAAATTATTTGATTTATGTCAAATATAAAAACAAAGAAGAATATCATTTGGATATTTATTTTTCATTATTATTTAGGGTTTCTGGAGAAAAATAAATTATGGTCAGGTCATCTAAATAAGCTAAGAAATGATATGACTTATTCATCTAATTAAATCATTCCCAACCCCAGTCCCTCGGCCTCCCCTTCTCTCCCCTTCCTTCTTCCGCGGCAGGCCTGGCCCAACCCTGCCCAGCTGCGGCCCTCCTCGGTGCCGGCCGCAATGGCAGAGGCGTCCGGCGCGGGGAAAATCTAGCTCGGGGATTTCATGCGGCCTAGCTCGGTTCCGCCTCCTCCCCGCGCGGCCCCGGCGGCTGCCCGCACCCCAGCCCCACTCCGGGCCTCCGTGTCTCTCCTGTGATCGCACTGACATGGCCGGGGGGTTAGAATGGAACAAACTGAAGGCCTGATGAGAGAAAGGGAAAGTTAAGGATGCTGGAGCAGAACAATGGATTTCTCTTTCATGCGAGGGATCATGGGAAACACAATTCAGCAACCACCTCAACTCATTGACTCCACCAACATCCGTCAGGAGGATGCCTTTGATAACAACAGTGACATTGCTGAAGATGGTGGCCAGACACCCTAGGAAGCTACCTTGCAGCAAGGTTTTCAGTACCCAGCTACAACAGAAGATCTTCCTCCACTCACAAATGGCTATCCATCATCAGTCAGCATGTATGAACCTCAAACCAAATACCAGTCGTATAATCAATATCCTAATGGGTCAGCCAGTGGCTTTGGTGCAGTTAGAAACTTTAGCCCCACTGACTATTACCATTCGGAAATTCCAAACACAAGACCACATGAAATTCTGGAAAAACCTTCCCCTCCACAGCCACCACCTCCTCCTTCGGTACCACAAACGGTGATTCCAAAGAAGACTGGCTCACCTGAAATTAAACTAAAAATCACCAAAACTATCCAGAATGGCAGGGAATTGTTTGAGCCTTCCCTTTGTGGAGACCTTTTAAATGAAGTACAGGCAAGTGAGCACACCAAGTCAAAGCATGAAAGCAGAAAAGAAAAGAGAAAAAAAAAGCAACAAGCATGACTCATCGAGATCTGAAGAGCGCAAGTCACACAAAATCCCCAAATTAGAACCAGAGGAACAAAATAGACCAAATGAGAGGGTTGACAGTGTAGCAGAAAAACCAAGGGAAGATCCAGTACTAAAAGAGGAAGCCCCGGTTCAGCCAATACTATCTTCTCTTCCAACAACCGAAGTGTCCACTGGTGTTAAGTTTCAGGTTGGTGATCTTGTGTGGTCCAAGGTGGGAACCTATCCTTGGTGGCCTTGTATGGTTTCAAGTGATCCCCAGCTTGAGGTTCATACCAAAATTAACACAAGAGCTGCACGAGAATATCATGTCCAGTTTTTTAGCAACCAGCCAGAGAGAGCGTGGGTTCATGAAAAACGGGTACGGTAGTATAAAGGTCATAAACAGTATGAAGAATTACTGGCTGAGGCAACCAAACAAGCCAGCAATCACTCTGAGAAACAAAAGATTCGGAAACCCCGACCTCAGAGAGAACGTGCTCAGTGGGATATTGGCATTGCCCATGCAGAGAAAGCATTGAAAATGACTAGAGAAGAAAGAATAGAACAGTATACTTTTATCTATATTGATAAACAGCCTGAAGAGGCTTTATCCCAAGCAGAAAAGAATGTTGCCTCCAAAACTGAAGTTAAAAAAACCCGACAACCTGGATCTGTGCTGAATACTCAACCAGAACAGACCAATGAAGGGGAGGTGGCCTCCTCACTCTCAAGTACTGAAATTCGGAGCCATAGCCAGAGGCGGCACACAAGTGTGGAAGAGAAAGAGCCACCTCCTGTTAAAATAGCCTGGAAAACTGCGGCAGCAAGGAAATCCTTACCAGCTTCCATTACAATGCACAAAGGGAGCCTGGATTTGCAGAAGTGTAACATGACTCCAGTTGTGAAAATTGAACAAGTGTTTGCTCTTCAGAATGCTACAGGGGATGGGAAAGTTATCGATCCATTTGTTTACTCAACAAAGGGAATTGGTAACAAAACAGAAATAAGTGTCAGGGGGCAAGACAGGCTCATAATTTCTACACCAAACCAGAGAAATGAAAAGCCAACGCAGAGTGTATCATCTCCTGAAGCAACATCTGGTTCTACAGGCTCAGTAGAAAAGAAGCAACAGAGAAGATCAATTAGAACTCGTTCTGAATCAGAGAAATCCACTGAGGTCGTGCCAAAGAAGAAGATCAAAAAGGAGCAGGTTGAAATAGTTCATCAGGCTACAGTGAAGACTGGATTACAGAAAGGGTCGGAGGACCGGGGAGTGCAGGGCTCTGTCAGATTCAGTGACAGCTCCGTCTCCGCAGCGATTGAGGAAACTGTGGACTAAGATTTCTGTACAATTTCATCCCAGAAACTCCAGACTTGTAGTCTCCATGCAAGATTTCTTCGTCGGCGGCTCGATAAAAAGTTTCTTTGTTTTCGATTTTGATTTTGCCAATCATCATTATTGGCATTTTCCTGCCTGGTTTCTTCTTCAAGACTCTGAACAATTGCTTTAACATTCAAGTGATTTTTTTTTTCGGTTTGAGCTGGATGGGTACAGCTTAAATCATGGGTCCAAGCCTGAAAACCACCATTTAACTTACACTGATCAATTTCAACATGGACTGTTTTTTTTTTTTTTTTTTTAAATAAAGCATCATTAATGCACATCTGCAGGGCTTTGCCAAACAGCCCAAACTGTATACATTACAATCATTAAAAGTTCTTATTTTTTTTAATATTAGTGCTGTTATCATGGAGAACAGCATGACAGCTGTCTTTGGCAGTCTGTCATTTTTCTAGCATTTTCAGAAACTCATCGGAAATGGCGGTATCTGTGTTTCCCTTCGGAAGCCTCTCAGTACAGCACTCCTGTTCCTCTGTTAAAACTCCTTGTTAATCCAGTGATCTTTTAGGCCAAGGAAATATTTTGTGGTGGTGTTCTGGGTCCATACACCAGCAATGAAGGCGATAGATTTGTGTACTTGTGTTTTTTAATCAGCATTAACATGGGCAGGCACCCTCATTTATAGATGTCAGGAAGCATTCAGTGAAAAACTTGTAGAACGGGATGTGATAACGACGTTCCAGTAATCTGAGCAGTCTAACGAGGCCCACCTCCTCCACCTCAGAACGTGGCTATGTTCCAAGACCTACTCTCACTCAGCCTGTTGCGGATCTTCATGGCCTCAGGAGACTTGTTTCTCCATGGGCTCTTCTGGACTGCACACTTCCACCATAGCTTGCTGGGCTGATCTAGATGTCTGTTTGTTGTATGGAAATTTTGGGGGGAAAAAAATCCAAAACACAAACTGTGGGTTCAAATATTAACCGTCTCCCTGGTTCCTTGGTATTCATCGTGCCTGATCTGCACATTTCATGGTGAGTGTTTCTGTATAGCCTATACTGCATTAACCCAAGAGATTGTTGCTTTGTAACTTTTTGCACTATTGTTTTGGCTGGATTTGTATTACACACAGTTTAAAAAAAAAAAAATTCCACACTTAAAAAAAAAAATTATTCCCGAGTAGACAATCATTCCCGAGTAGTTAAATGCATATATATATATTTATAAACAGATATACAAAAGTTAGTTCTAAATATTGGTTTATTAAAGTTTCATATGACACAAATTTATGAAAAATATGGCAAACAATGTTTTATTTTATTTTTGAAATTTATTTATTATACTTTAAGTTCTTGGGGTACATGTGCAGATTGTGCAGGTTTGTTACATAGTTATCACATGCCATGGTGGTGGTTCACTGTATCCATCACCCTGTCATGTCCAGGTATTTCTTTTAATGCTATCCCTCCCCAATCCTGGTGTGTGATGTTCCTTCCCCGTTCCCCCTCCCTCCCAGGCCCCAGTGTGTGATGTTCCCCTCCCTGTGTCCCGGTGTGTTCTCATTGTTCAACACCCACTTATGTGGTGTTTGGTTTTATGTTCTTGTGTCAGTTTGCTGAGAACGATGGTTTCCAGTTTCATCCATGTCCCTGCAAAGGATATGAGCTCATCACTTTTTTATGGCTGCATAGGATTTTATGGTGTATATGTGCCACATTGTCTTTATCCAGTCCATCACTGATGGACGTTTGGGTTGGTTCCAAGTCTTTGCTATTGTGAACTGTGCAGCAATAAACATACGTGTGCATGTGTCTTTATAATAGAATGATTTATAATCCTTTGGGTATATACTTTAAATATAAATAGGCAGCCATATTCATAGTGTACATGCATGGTTTTCTCCAGTGTTTCGCTGCTCAATTGCTTTTTCATTTCCAACAACCCAAGCAGTATCTCACAGGTTTATTAACATAAAACCATAGATCAGAATATTCTAGCATCATATGAGTATGAAAATACAGATCCAAACAGCATTTATTTACATATAAAGCACACTGTGTTTTCTTATGGTGCTATTCAAGGAAGAAATTGTAGTGCATTTTATCAATCCTTTTATTCACTTTGTTCTATTTTCAAAATACTCAAAGATCTAACAGTATCTAATTTTAGAATATGTTGTTTATTATTAAATATTTGAAAGATAACAACAAAATAAAATAAAAATTAAGTAAATTTATTTACACAAAAGCTATTTTTATGCTTGCTATATATGAAAAGAAAATTAAATTTACATTATTGAGGTTTCTGCTCCCCTAAATAGTTTGGTAGCTGGATATATACCTGGTAAATATTCTCATCCATAAACTATAATTATTAATTACATTGGTTAATGTTTTTGAGGCTTTAGATAAGCATGAATTAAGTGTCATTTCTCCCTCACAATCCCATCAAAATTACATTAAATATGCCCCCAAAATACAATATTTTTAATAACATTGGTTATGGGAATACAGACACATTAACAGAGCCCAAGAAGACAAAGAATATCTTTGGCAACTAGTTAAATTGTTGCCAAATAAACCATTCTGCTCCAACTATTGCATATCTTCCATTTAGAATAAATTGTTAGAGTTGCATAAAGGGATTACATCTTTTAGTTGAAAACCACACAGTTCCCTGACCTAGACACACAGAAATACATTTTCAACATTTCAGTGAAAAATAGAAAAATCCAAAGGTTTATGTGATGAAAATATGAGCTATCTACAATGAAATAAGAATTAAAAAATTATCACACTTGTCACCAAAAATACAGATTTATAAACTCAATGTTGACTGGTAAATATTTTTAAAAACTGCTTCAATTATTGTTTCCTGTGGTCCAAGAGAAATCTTGATGGAGAAAAATACAAAAACCAGTACATAGAATGTAAGAGTGTTTATGTTTAATCTCTGCATCTCTCTGGGCTCTATGTATGGGTTATTTGCAGAAGGAACTGACAAAAAGCAAACAGATTGGAAACCTACTTTATGTTGCACTGAAAATATGTTGTTAGACTTCTTGTTAGATTACAGAAGGCTGCGACTGTTCTACTTCAACTTGCATTAGCAAACATTTAGCTGCAAATGATCTGTAAATTTCAAAATGGGTACAGAGGATAAAAGGAAAAAAAAAAGACCACTTAGAGGGCAAAACCAACATCCGCAGAGAACAGACAAAGAATTTCTCCCAAAGAGCAAACCATGGCTGAAAAATAGTTTATCAGAAAGTCTTAATAATTCTGGCCTAGCAAAATAGGATAATAGCTATAGACCAGTGTATTTCATTCCTTTTGATAGTGACAGTGTTTATTTTCTTCTCCACATGGTATATTATATTGGAATTACCTGTTCCAACAGAAGTGTTTTATTTTGATGTTTATTGAGTTCTGGGGTGGGCAGCGTGTGCAAATATCCTAACTTTGTTTTTCGTATTTTTTTTTTAAGTTTAGTTAATATGTAGCCACATCACATGGAAGACAACACATCAGCAAGGAATCTGGAAGTGTATGATATAATAGGATATAATTTCATTGCTGTTGGTTGGGTGCAGTAGCTCATGCCTATAATTCCAGCACTTTGGATGACAAAGGCAGGTGGATCAACTGAGGTCAGAAGTTCGAGACCAGCTTGACCAACATGAGAAAACCCTGTCTCTACTAAATAATAATAATAATAAAAATTAGCCAAGTGTGGTGGTGCATGCCTGTAATCGCAGCTACTTGAGAGGCTGAGGCAGGAGAGTCATCACGTGCACCCCAGAGGCTGAGGATGCAGGGAGCTGAGATTGCACCATTGCACTCCAGCCTGGGCAAAAAGAGCAAAACTCCATCTCAATAAACAAGCAAACTTCATGGCTGCTAAGTGAAACTAAGATATTCAGACATATTTTTGACTTTTCAAGAGTGTGAACTGTGGCAGTATGAGCTAACTGTCCTCTACTATCTCTTCTTGCAATGGACAATGATCATGCTGTTAAAGATAAGACCCCGCAACCTCTCTTGCATCTATGTGTTGCTCTCTGACTAGGTTCTAACCAATGCTATGTAAATGTGAGAGCTATCTAGGCTATTTCCTTCACAGAAAGGGAACCTTTCCTTATTCTACTGCCTTTCTTGTTTCTTCCTCCCTTTTGCAGAAATAATGAGATGATAGAGGAAATTTGTTTTGACATATTGGACCACAAGAACAAGACCATGTTTTGAGAATGACAGAAATATGGCACAGAAGCCTAACAATTATGGAACTGCTTTTCAACAAGAACCATCTTGGACTTATTTGAGTAATATGCTATTTTTTTATTAATGTCCCTATTATTTGGAGTCATTCTGGCTCAGATGTCCAATATCTATTCTAGGCAACTGAAAACAAGATTCTAAAAAGAAGGAGGTTCTATGAAGAATGTTGTGTTAGCAAGGTTAATCTAGTTAAATTTAAAGAGTCAGAAGTAGGAGCATAAAGATATCTCTTTGGTCAACCAAAAAGTAGTTCTCAATCAGTAAAACGCAAGTTGTGGAAAATGAAATTGAAATAGTTTTATATGACATATCTATGTATAAAAACATTAACTAGAGACTATAGGAAATCCACAATACTTTACAAGTATTTATGGTGTGATCATAATGCAATCTAATATATAATATAGTTTTGAGCAATTGACAGGGTGTAAGAAATTTAACCTGATAGTATTAAACATTCTTCTTCAAGTTGTTTAAAAGCAAAAGTTTCCATTCCGTACTTAAGAGTCCACCATGGTACTTAATCATCTCATTAATATTATTTACATGGCCATAATACTGATTTGTAAATACAGTTGAGTGGCTTCATAACACACAATACTCTAAATATGCAGACCCTGATGACAGATTTCCTTCATTTATTATATGTTAACCCTTAAGAGTTTTCTAAAATCTTTCTATACATTATTGGTTCCATGTACAAAATAGCATTTTTAAAATAGAATCTCATTCGACATTAACAGATCAAAGGAAATTATTAATATCATATGGTCATCTCAGTAGATACAGAAAAATAATGTGAAAATTCAATATGCTTTCATGATAAAAAATTCTCAAGAGATTAGGTATAGAAAACATGTACATCAACACAATAAAGGCTACATATGAAAGAAAATCCACAGCTATGATCATATTAAATAATAAAATATTTAAAGTTTCCTCTGAGGTCAAGAATAAGAAAAAGATGGTCATTTTTACTACTTTATTCAACATAGTCCTACAATTCCTAACCAGAGAATGTAATCATGAGAAAGAAGAAAAATCCATCCAAGTTGGAAACGAAAAAGTTAAATTGTCCCTATTTACAAACAGTATGATCTTTTATGTAAAAAAA